GGGCAGGTGCAGGAGTCACCACCCCTCGTCATCAGACCCGCAGGCTCAGCCACCCACTGGCCGGGCGCATCCTCTCCTGGGTGCACCTGAGCCGGTGAGCGGGTGACGGAGACCCAGGGGAGACCTGGAGCTGTCACTGCCTCTTTCCCACAAACCTCTAAGTCAGTGGTTCTCAACCTGTGGGTCGCGACCCCTTTGGCGGTCGAACGACCCTTTCACAGAGGTCGCCTAAGACCATCCTGCATATCAGATATTTACATGACGATTCATAACAGTAGCAACATGACAGTTATGAAGTAGCAACGAAAATAATTTTATGGTTGGGTCACCACATGAGGAACTGTATTTAAAGGGCCAGAAGGTTGAGAACCACTGGTCTAAATGAAGCCGGTTCTGCCCGTTGTAACAAAACAACCTTCCATACGTCTTCAGAGATTCCCCCCAAAACTCAGGCTGTACCATACGAAATTGCCAATTTCCAACCATTTGTGACCCACAACAATGGCAACTTCACGTGGCTCATCCGATATGTTAAAGCCAGCTGCGACACGAGCGAGACCGGCGCTCTCCTCACCCCTAACCCACGGGGGCCAGGGCTCCTGGCTTCGGGAAACGCTGAGCTCCTGACCATGCCCACAGCCGGGGTCAGGCCCGCGGCGGGAGAGCGGATTACCGTGGCCGTTCCTGCGTCCGACGTCGTCCTTCTTGAACACGGCGCCTCCGCTGGGCACGCACCTCTCACCCCACTCGTCCCTCAGCTTCAGCTCCTCAATCTGCTCGTCCGTCAGGCCTTGCATGTTCGGAGGCAGAAACACGCCGTGTTCCGCCAGCTCCTCCATTTCTTACAAATGAGAAAGAACACGTGTTCCCGAGCGGCACGGACACTGGGCGCCTCCTCAGTGAGGGGTCTGCCGGCGGCTCGAGGTTTTACTTAACACTTGGCTGCCTGACGTGTGCCAGCCCCTGTGTGACCTTTAGACATGACCTTCCCGGCCGAGGTCAGCGGAGGCAGAGACCGGGGAGCTCGCCGGGTCCCAGCGGTGGGCTGTGGGCTGCGGGCCCAGCATGGCCTGTGCGCTGTGCTGTACCCCCGGGGTTCGGGAGGCACAGATTGAGTTCGCCGCTGCCGGGAGCCAGTCCATCCTTGCTGTTTCAAGGGACCTGGCGTATATGGCATACTGTTCTTAATATGTTTGCTCCCCTTAGCGCTATGTGTTTTATTTATTTATTTTTTAAAAATATATTTTATTGATTTTTCACAGAGAGGAAGGGAGAGGGATAGAGAGTTAGAAACATCGATCAGCTGCCTCCTGCACACCCCCTACTGGGGATGTGCCTGCAACCCA